TGATTTATATTTTAGAGAGGAAACTTTTGGGTGAAGTTTCTGGATTTTTTTGTTTTAAGCAGTATGAAATCACATAGAAAAATCAGTACAAATTCAAACAATTCCATACACGTCCTTAATTATAAAGAGATGAAATGTTAGTAGAAATTCTGAAACCCCGCAACCAAAAAATGCCCTTTTTGCACTCACCACTTCAATGGAGAATTTGCACGCAAATTTTTTATTGCTAATACATCTGAAGGTGCTTAAAGAGCTGATTTTGCAGTATTTTTTATAATTTTTTTCTGTGATGGGAAATAGTCTAAAAATTGATTTAAAAGTGAGAAAATGCACCGCCATGTGATGCCATCTGGCGGCATTTCTCATCAAATCGCATGTATTTCAGCAAATAAGATATTTTTGGCACATCTCCTTCAAAAATTGCTCGATTGATAAGCCAATGGTATCCTCGTGCTCAGTTCACTCAGTAGTTTCCACTTCAACATGAAATTCTTCAAATTTCAGACATCTGTTGAGCAAGTATTTTGACCATGACAAAATTAACCGAAATTCAATGGTAAAAATTCCGCCGAAATGGCTCTCATGATATTTGAACTGCACGTGCCACACACGTCCTTTCCTATATAATTTCTTGGAAATTAAGCCAAGCGACAATAAGATGCAAAACTGCGCTCCTTAAGATCGGCTTGCAAACTTTCGAGAATGTTTTCACACTATGAGATCATGCTGGATCCGAATGAAAGACAATGTTCGCGTCAAATCCTTGCATCATAAATCCGATCCGGAGAGACCACCAAGGGATTCTCGGAGCTACAAGCCAAGCGGGGGGGGGGGGGCGTGGAGAAGAGTAGTTCCGGGTATGTCCACGTCGGGAAAGCGGAGCGATCCAAGTGTCGGTTCTCGGTTGATGCCTTTAAATTCTCATTTCGTTTGGCCTATAAAACTCTTGTGACCTATAAAACTCAACCGCGAGATTTATATCGGGGCGAAAAACATTGTTGCGGATGCAGTATTGCAAACGAGTACCCTGCCGTCCACAGGAAGAGCACCGTAACTCCAATCGAGACTTTGCATTTTTCTTCAACACATACTGTTCTATTACGAGGAGCCCTCATCATAATCCTTCATTTTTTAAATTTGAATTCTCAATGGTATGTCGCGGTTATGTTTAAATTAAGAAGGATGAATAGTCCTTTCCCGGACGAGGAAACGTAACTCTATTTTGAGGTTGCAAAGTAATTGCCTAAAGAGATTCAATTTTTTACAAGAATATACCCGTGTAATTTCCGTCTATAAAACTTGTCTGATTCTTGCATGAGTCCGTCGTCGAAAACATACAACATTTTGCAAGAAATCAAAACTTGACTATCTGTCGAGTAGTGTAGAGGCATTTGATAAAATGCTTGATTTGACAGTTTGCCTGCGCCATAGTTACGGTCTTTCAGCCATCATACGAATTCCTGCAGACTCACAAAGCTACAAGACTTCGCAGTAAAATCCTTAAAATACTTTACCTTCAGTTACCATATACATTATTAGCGTTATAAAATAAACCATGGCTTTACGCATAGCTTAGCATTACTCCGCCAAGTTTGAATTTTTCAAGATTTATCGATTAGCCCAACGAGAGAAGCGAGGCTCTGAGAAATGGACTCTTCGTGCAAAAATGTCCTTCTGGACAAATGAGCCGATAATCGGAGTGTGAGTTGTTGCGGCGACGCTAGCAACGCGACAAAAGAGCGTATCTCATACCCCATTGAGCCGTAAAAAGCATTGAGACATACGGGCGACGGAGCTCATCTCCGAAAACAGTTACGCTGTTTCGTCGTTACGAGGCATGACTCATAGCCGGCGACCACCACGGGTTTATCGAGACATCTCCCGCGTTTATAATGAATGAAAAATCGGGGAGGTAAATTNGGGGGGGGGGGGGGAAGGGGCGATGGAGACGAAGAAATTTGAGACTGCCGTCGAAGGCCCAAGGTATCACTTCGCAGGTACCGCGATACATCGCGGCTCAAAGTCGGATTGAATCGAAACTGCACCCTGCCCCGCTAAGGAAAAACGCCGTGTGAACGCAAGAACGTTGCCTTTCTTTTGATGAAATACGAGTCTCCTCGGAAACTTGAGAGAGGAGTCTTTCAATTTTTCAACCACGATTCCATCAGTTTCTGAAAATCTCCAAGAAAAGTGAGGGTCCTGCTCTGAAAACTGTCCATCTTGGAGAAATGAAAGTTATGTCTTATTGCGGAAGATCACGCGCATCTTTTTTCCAATTAATTTGTTTAAAAATGTTTTTTTTCAATTCAAATCATAAAGTTGGACGCGATTTTCACGTGCTTCACAACAAGTCCAAATATAAAGTTTAGGAACGTTAACATTAAACCATCAAAGGACCTAAACGTTCCATATTTTAGGCTATGCTCCTCTTGCTAGTGGCGTATAAATATAGGGCCCTCGGAGCCCACAATGCGAGAAAGCCCATGGTTTTAAGGGGCCCAGTCCTTTACTTGAACTTTTAAAATTTGTTTTAAATTTGATCCCATAGTCGAGCGCAAGGAGGGGGGAGGGCTGAATTACAGTCTGGGGTGGGTTGCGCTTACGACTTACGCCATTGCCTCTTCCAGAGAACTGATTTTCAGCAACACACGCTGCAGACAGTTTTCCTTTCTATTTCCCCCGACTACATTTTTTTGTTTTTTTTTTCAGGATATTTCCTCCAGGAAATTTTGCAACATTGGGCTGTTCATACGGCGTTCTTCACCACGGCTTAAAAACCCCCTATCCGTCCCCAGGGCACGGGGGGGGGGGCATAGCTCGAGGGGGCAGTGAGAAAGCTATGTCAATAAAACCAGCGAGGAACGCGAAAAGAGAAAAAAAATAATACAAAATAAAATCAAATGGACGTATTTCTGCCGAAGGTAACTGCGTCCATCAAGACACGAGCCCTGACACCCGTAAGAATACATGCATAATAGGGCTCACGCCATGATGCACATAGTTCCGTTTGGCAGAAATACGACCAAATGTGAGCGTACGAGTACTTAGTTTTGCGTAGGTCCCGGTTGAGCGCGGTGTGTGGTCCGGGGTGTGTAATAGAGACATCAGATCCTTACGACCTACCGCAGATGCCTGTCACAATCCCCCTCCGCCCCCCCCCTTCGGCCCCCCCGTGCCCCCCGAGCCCCCCTCTGACGCAATCCCCCAGCTCCGCCGCACGGAGGGGACATCGGCGAGCCGTTTTGACAACCTCCTCAGGACCTCATCATCCAACCCCCCCC